TCTTGAAAATAAGTATTGTTTTGTTCATTTTTAAATGACCAACATCCATCTTATGTCGTTCTCGTCGAGACCTAGCACCTTTTGCATAAAAACGTACATTATTTGTCTAAAGAACAATCCATTTAAAGGCACATCATCCTACCAAAATTGTTGCTTAAAAATGGATATAGTAAAGGAACAGTATGCGGGTATGTGTTAATTACTATTTTTATGCTATGGGTTTTAAAAGCGTGAAATAAATTTGGCCCCTGCCTCTACAGTCGAATTTGTGCATTTATTTTTTTTATTTTTATACCCGTTACTCGTAGAGTAAAAGGGTATACTAGATTCGTCGGAAAGTATGTAACAGGCAGAAGGAAGCGTTTCCGACCCCATAAAGTATATATATTCTTGATCAGGATCACTAGCCGAGTCGATCTAGCCATGTCCGTCTGTCCGTCTGTCCGTCTGTCCGGATGAACGCTGAGATCTCGGAAACTATGAGAGCTAGGCTATTGAGATTTGGCGTGCAGATTCCTGAGCTTCTTACGCAGCGCAAGTTTGTTTCAGTAGACTGCCACGCCCACTCTAACGCCCACAAACCGCCCAAAACTGTGGCTCCTACAGTTTTGATGCTAGATAGAAAATTTTAACTGAAATGTAATGTTCTCATCAATACCTATCGATTGACCTAAAAAAAAGTTTGCCACGCCCACTTTAACGCCCACAAACTGCAAAAACCTGTGACGCCCACAATTTTCATGTTAGATAAAAAATTTTAACTGAAATGTATTGGTCTCGTCGATACCTATCGATTGATCCAAAAAAAAATTTGCCACGCCCACTCTAACGCCCATAACGCTTAAATCTGTATACCGCCGGTAGGTGGCTCATTTTAATCTCGCGTTGCTGTTTGCATATCTCCATTTAGCTGAGTAACGGGTATCTGATAGTCAAGGTACTCGACTATAGCGTTCTTCCTTGTTTTATATATTAAGTTACTTCCGTGAAGAGGGAAGAATAATTTGGCCGCCCCGTTGGAACGGGTTCAAGAAAAACAAAATTAAATGGACAGCTAAGTAAATAGCGTGCAGTAGTTTCTGGTGATGTTATGATGACGATGAACGATGAGTGATGACGATGAACGATAAGCGATGAAAATGTTATCAATGTGTGTGAGAAATTTGTGGGAGCGACGTTATCGATAGTTTAGGTCGATAGGGCGATAGCTGCAGCAGCGGGATGAGTCTGGCGGGCGATCTGGCCATTTGAAGATTAATCCCGGTTCGCTCTGGGATTACTTCAAATGGCCCATGTATCCAATGACCCAATGTCGAGAGAGGCCATGTAATATGGCGGGGGGCGATGATCAGCAGATATCGTGATAGTCGCGGCCATACTGTCCAGCAATCAAGGCAGATGCAGCTAGGAGTTCTAGTATAAATTTTCTTTGTGCCTTAAATTAAATAGTGAGTTATGTGAAAGTTCTAGAGTAGTTCGGTATTTAATATTTATCATTTATAAAGGCAGCCGGGGTCCCAATACAAAGGGCACCGGAAGAATTTATTTGGACTCTACTGACATTGCCATACTTCGACCTACCTACCAGCCCGACTTGGCTGACCAGCAACCGGTGTCCGTTCGACCCGTGCCAGCGACCAACCAGGAAAGCCTTCTACAATCGACGCCGACGACGTCAACACTTCCCGGTGAGTCCCTTCCGGCGTACCGCGTCCTCCTCCTCCTCTCGGGAACTTCCAGCGGTCGCATTGCGGCGCTGAGAAGTATCACCATTTTGTCTGGCAGCCGAATCTCGGACTGCCCGTGCACCACTCACCGGAGAGCGCCGTTTTCCCGTATCGCTGCTGGCCTCCGACGGGAAGTCATCAGCCCGGGCAATCATCGCCTCCAGGCCGGCCCGACAGTGGCTGAAAATTAAGAGAAATTAAATACACGTGTACCTCGATTATATATAGTGATATCTACTTACCTGTTTGTGAGTTTATCCGGAGTTAGACCCGAGAGCCTTATTTGTCCTCGTTGTTTGCCTAAAATTAAAAAGGTCGCGAGCATTAGTTAAATGGTATAGTTTACAGTGCAGTTACGTACCTTTTTGGCCTGTCCCTTCTTTTCCCTTGGAGCTCCTCAGGATTAGGTGACCATACGCACGCGCATCGCGCATGTTCCCTTGAGGCCCGCGTTTCCATGCGAGCTCTACCAATACATGGCTGGTGGAGCATAGTTTTCCGCGGCGCCTGTACCCTTTCCCAGCAAAACAAATCCTCTGCTTTGACCGCGTAAATATCCGAGACGGCGGCCAGGTTTCGGTCTTAGAGGCTGAGGAAGGATAAATCTGTCAAGAGAAGCATGTGTATAAATGATTGTACTTACCATATTTATTAAACCTTTGTAATACCCACTATGTGTGAATAAGCTTTCCCAGTGGGGGAGATGGAACCGTAGCCGTAGTCGCGAGGAGGGGGCTCCTGCCGACTACGAATGGGTGGTGCCCTGCAGCACCTTGAGGGCATCCATGGATGGGCGGGAGCGCTTGGCTAGGACATCGATAGCCACCAAAAGTAATCCATTTTCCCGACAATAATTGTAGATTTTTGCTTTCTTTACGTTTTTGCCCTTAGTGATGACCGATAGATTAGTAAAGTGAGACCGCGAAGTTATCGATACTTATGTTGCGAGCTGTGGCAGTAGGGGTACTCTGTCCTGAAGACGACTGAGCTAGCGGCACTGCCACCGACAAAAAAGCAGTTCGTAACATATTGGCGCCCAATTTAAACAAAATAAATTGTCGAGGCGACGACGTCTCGCCCATTTATGACCCTGACGCCCCCGCCATCACGACCTATGGCTTGCAACATAGATTGCAATTGCTAGGGAGTGGTGACGGGGAAGTCAGCTGAGTAGGGAAGTTGGAAGTAGAACGGGAGGCACGTCGACATTGCCGACGATTTGCTCCTGGTCACAGGTTTACCAGTGAACCGGTGATGGCATCTTGGGGCAAACCGAGATTTGCATCACGATTTGACGAGAATCTGTGATAATTTCTGTGATAGAGTAGTTTTAAGGCTTGTATTTTGTTATTTATTTATTTGAAATGTTTTTTTTTCTTAGGATGTGGTGTTCCTGGGTTTTTCTCCCCGTCCTGGACTTCTAGTTTTAGGTCGGTTGTGAACTTAATTGCGTAATCGTGACCCGTAGCAACCCTACGCGCTGCACGGTTACCTCGATTTAAAATAGAAAAAGAGGGCGGGAAAGAAAAGCCAACAGGAGCCAAACCGAGCCGATGTCCTTAACTGGCGGCTATCACCACGGGTGATAGCTAGTCCAGTTGACGAACGGCTAGGCGGAGACGGGAAAATCGGATTTTTGGAGAAAGCGCAAGACAAGTAGGTCGGAAGCCCACCGGCGAGGGTCGGTTCCATCTCCCCAAGTCCAGAGTAGTAGGAAGAAAAAAAATAATACAAGAAAATAGGAGATTTGAAAAGGAGTTGGAAAGTGAGGAAGATTTGTTTATTGTTATTTATTTTTGCTATTAGTTATTTTCGTATTTATTTTCTTATTTATTATATTATTTATTATTGTATTTTTTTGTTGTCTTATCGACTACTGGTTCCGGAGCAGACGGCACCACAAAAGCTGAACACGGAACGGGATACGGCGGCGGAGTCGGCGATGAACGCAGCTCTGGCACAGGCTGCCCAAACCTATCGCGCATCACAGGAGTTAGGAGTGAGCCAGGCGTTGCGGGAAGAAATAAAGAACGGATTCATCGACATGATGAAGTTGTTGAACGACGTCCTGAGGCCAGCCGAGAGCAAACCGCAGCCGCTTCAGGAGGGCTCGAGTCGCCAAGTGTCGATGGGGCCCACCCCGTCGTGTCCAGAAGGTGGCGCAAATGGCCCAGCGGGGATTCAGCAGCGGCAGGATACAGGAGGATGCTACCGAAGGCCGTCGGAATGGCCGCCCAGGCAGCGACCTCGACTGCCGCTAAATTACTCTCCAGGGATCGACAGCAGCCTGAGCCAGGAACCGGAGTATCATCCGGCAAGCAGGAGCGATCGCCACGCACGGCCATGGCGCATCGAGGACCGAAGGACGGCGGATTTTCGGGACGAGCCGCGGTTATACGCCAACGCGGGAGCCGGCAACGGAAATCCCTACATCCGAGTGGACCGCTGGAACCTCTCATTCGGCGGCGAGGACGATGGCCATTCCGTGGACGACTTCGTGTTCCGTCTGGAGTTCCTGCAGCGGCAGCATCAATGTCCGTGGAGTGAAGTTCTGCGCAACTTCCACGTACTCTTATCGGGCAGAGCGAAGGAGTGGTACTGGGTACATGTACGCCAGTCCAGAGTGGACACTTGGGCCCAGCTGCGCAGGGCTCTGATGGATCGGTTCCGTGGTCACCAGACGGAACACTAAAGGATGCACGAGCTCCTACAACGTGAGCAACAGCCAGGAGAAAGCGCGGATGACTACATCCATTCGATGCAGCAACTCGCCTCACGCCTAAAAAAACCAATGCCAGAGCGGCAGTTGGTTAAGGTGGTGAAAAAGGGCTTGAGGGATGGCATCGCTAGACATGTTTATGCGATGGACGTACTCACGGTGGACGAACTTCGCGAAGAGTGCGTCGAAGTGGAGAGGAGTTTCGGTCGTCGAGGGCGTGCGGCTTACCTGCAGCAGAACAAGGTACGGGTCAGCGAGGCGCACGTACAGGACGAAGTCGACGAGCACCGACACCTGGAGGTGGACGAGCTACGCGGGCGAGTCCGAAATACATTTAGGCCAGGTTGCTGTAATTGCGGGGCGGCGGAGCACGGATTCCAAGATTGCGAGGCCACGGAGTGGAGGAGATTTTGTTTCCGGTGCGGCAAGCCGGGCGTCATTTCTCCGAAATGTCCCGATTGCGCGGAAAACGGTCGGCTGGGCAGTCCGAAAGCGGGAGGGACTCGCCCAGGTTGGAATCCCGCGAAGTAGTTCCGAAGAAAGAAGAAGAAGAAAAGAAAGTACACAGTCCATCTAATAGTAATAAGTATTTGTGAAGATACCTACCGGAGGATGAGAGGCTTCGCCGTTATATGGAGGCACGGAACCGGATCTTTGCGGAGCATCAGCTGAGCGGCATGCGTCTAGTCTCACGGAGAGTCCAGAAGGCAAGGGAGCGCTTCAGGATGAGGAGATCCAGACGACGAGAGGTGGTGGCGGCCGTTAAGCGCATTGATTCCGCTGATCCTCGACCCTTCGCCGACGTGGAGACCTTGGGCAAGCAGCTCACCGGCTTGTTAGATACAGGCGCCAGCGTAAGTGTGCTGGGCAAAGGCTGTCGAGAGCTCGTGGAAGCGCTGGGAGTTACCGTCCAACCGTATTTTTCGGTAGTCCGTACGGCTTCTGGCGAAGATCGATCCATCATCGGACGCTTGGAGCTGCCTGTGAGGTACAAAGGCGTAAGTAAGCCGGTCACGTTCTACCTGTGCCCATACCTGGAACAAACGGCGTACTTCGGAGTCGACTTCTGGCGAGCCTTCGGACTAGCTCCAGCCGTCGTGGGGAAGCCGGCGACGAGAGGCGTCAAGGCAGCGGAGGAAATCCAATTCATGCCAGCCAGATGGAGCACTATGCCGACCAGGAAGATGAGGACGAGGTAAGGGAGGAACCGGAATCCTGGAGCCTTTCTGCGGAGGAAAAGCTGGCGTTAGGCAAGGTCAAGGAGGAGTTCCTTACCTTTGAAAGGGACGGCCTCGGAGTCACCAGCATGGAGAGGCATTCCATTGAACTGATGGAAGGAGCTCGGGTATTTAAGGATCGTCCGTATCCGATGTCTCCGGCGAAGCAGAAGGTGGTCGAAGACGAGATCGACAAGATGTTGGAGCTGGGTGTCATCGAGGAGAGCAAAAGCCCGTGGAGCAATCGCACAACAGTGGTGTCGAAGCCAGGGAAAGACCGGTTCTGCCTGGATGCCCGGAAGTTGAACGCCTTGACTATCAAAGACGCATACCCTCTGCCCAGTATAGAAGGAATCCTCTCCATAATAGATCAGACGCATTACATCTCCAGCGTTGACCTGAAGTTTGCATTTTGGCAGATCGAACTGGATGAGAAGAGCAAGGAGTACACTGCGTTCACGGTTCCAGGCAGGCCGTTGTACCAATTCCGAATGATGCCGTTCGGACTGTGCAACGCGGCACAACGCTTGGTGCGACTCATGGATCGGGTGATACCAGCGGAGCTCAGATCCAACGTCTTCGTCTACTTGGACGACCTGCTAATCCTGGCTCCAGACTTTCAGACGCACCTAAAATACTTGCGTCGGGTAGCCCACAGTCTCAAATCAGCCGGATTGACCATAGAGTTAAAGAAGTCGAAGTTTTGCTTCAAATCTTTGACTTACCTAGGGTTTATAGTCGGAGGTGGACTGCTGCGGATGGATCCTGGAAGTGTTACGGCAATCCAGAAGATGCCTTACCCGAAATCCATGAAGGAAGTACGTGCCTTCCTCGGCACAGCGGGATGGTATCGACGGTTCGTCAAGAACTTCGCTACGCTAGCCGCACCACTCTCCGAGTCCTTGAAGAAGGCTGGAAACACAAAGTTTTCCCTAAGTCCCAGCGCCACCCAGGCAGTGGATGACCTGAAGTTGGCCTTGACGAGCGCGCCGGTCCTGGTTCATGCGGATTTCAAGAAGCATTTCTTCATCCAGTGCGACGCATCCCACGTTGGCGTCGGCGCGGTATTGTTTCAGCGGAACCAGGACGGAGACGAGCAGCCCATCGCGTTCTTCTCGGCCAAGATGAACAAACACCAGGTTAACTACTCGGTCACGGAAAAGGAATGTCTGGCGGTCATCCTAGCTATTCGGAAGTTCAGACCGTATGTGGAAGGGATGCCCTTCACATGCATTACCGATCACGCCAGCCTTAAGTGGTTGATGACAATGAAGGATCTTTCCGGACGACTCGCAAGGTGGTCTCTCCAGCTGCAGGGCTACGATTTCAGCATCGAACATCGCAAAGGCAGCGAGAACGTAGTCGCCGACACCCTATCCCGCATCATCGAGGAAGTCCGGATAGATCCAACGGAGTTACTGGGATTCGAGACGACCGAATTTGCTGCGGAGGACTATAAGGAATTAGTGCAAGACGTGGAGTCCAACAGGGAGCACTTACCGGACCTCAAGGTGGATGGCGGACTCATCTTCAAGCGCATGAGTAACCCCAAAATGGACGAGGAATTGGAAGGATCCGAATGGAAGCTGTGGATCCCGCAAAGCCTGACGCACAGCTTGGTAGAGCGTGCTCATTCGGACCCCAAGGCTGGCCATGGTGGGATGACGAAGACCTTGGAGATCCTGCGACGCCAGTTCTATTGGCCAGGGATGACCATCCAGGTACGGGAATACGTCCGGAGTTGCGATGTGTGCAAGGAATCCAAAGCGCCAAACTTCCGGATGCAGGTCGGAATCGGAAGAAGGGTAGAGACGGAGAGGCCATTCCAGAAACTGTACATCGACTTCCTGGGCAAGTATCCGAGGTCCAAGAGTGGACACGCCTGGATATTTATCGTGGTGGACCACTTCTCGAAGTACACCTTCTTAAAGGCGATGAAGGAGGCGACGGCGTCGAACGTTGTAAATTTCCTGGTAAACGAGGTATTTTACAAGTTCGGGGTGCCTGAGACGATACATTCGGACAACGGCAAACAATTCGTATCCAAGGCGTTTGAGGAGATAATCGATGGCTTCGGTGTACAGCACATGAGGACTCCCGTATACTCACCACAGAGCAATGCCGCGGAGAGGGTAAACCGAAACGTCCTGGCCGCAATTCGCAGCTTCTTGGACGAAGATCACCGGGAATGGGATGCACATTTGCCGGAGATTGAGGTGGCCATCCGAAACACTGTCCACTCAGCCACAGGGGAAGCGCCGTTCTTCACTGTATTCGGCCATCACATACTACAAACTAGCCAGACGACTCAGGTCTCTGGTCGACCATGAAATGGCCGGAATGCAGACCAAGGACAAGCTTCGGGTTATCCACGCCAAGGTGCAGAAGCAACTGGAGGGTGCATACCAGACGAGCCGGCAGCGCTACGATAAGCGAGCCCGTACGCTGCTCGCCAAGCCAGGCCAAGAAGTCTTCCGCCGCAACTTCGTGCTGAGTGATTTCAGCAAATCTTTTAACGCCAAGTTTGCTCGCAAGTTCCTTAAAGCCAGGGTGGTCAAATCCGTCGGAAGCAATGCATACCTGCTGGAGGATCTCCAAGGCCGCAGTCTGGGAGTGTATCACGCCAAAGACATCCGGTTGTGACCTGAAAGAAGGACAAAACAAAGTATACTAGCATCGCGATCACATCTGCAATACTTCCCGTCATGCGTGGGCCCCGCGTTAGGCCCCGATCGAACTGCAGGATGGTATCAGTGCCGTGTTGAATCCCATCGTATCTCCAAAGCTACCAATTATTTCATCGTTCTGCTGAAACTCCGGGCAGCGCCCCTCGAAATCTTTGGTTGATGTTGCAATTGGAGTCGAGTGGGAGCGACGTTATCGATAGTTTAGGTCGATAGGGCGATAGCTGCAGCAGCGAGATGAGTCTGGCGGGCGATCTGGCCATTTGAAGATTAATCCCGGTTCGCTCTGGGATTACTTCAAATGGCCCATGTATCCAATGACCCAATGTCGAGAGAGGCCATGTAATATGGCGGGGGGCGATGATCAGCAGATATCGTGATAGTCGCGGCCATACTGTCCAGCAATCAAGGCAGATGCAGCTAGGAGTTCTAGTATAAATTTTCTTTGTGCCTTAAATTAAATAGTGAGTTATGTGAAAGTTCTAGAGTAGTTCGGTATTTAGTATTTATCATTTATAAAGGCAGCCGGGGTCCCAATACAAAGGGCACCGGAAGAATTTATTTGGACTCTACTGACATCGCCATACTTCGACATACCTACCAGCCCGACTTGGCTGACCAGCAACCGGTGTCCGTTCGACCCGTGCCAGCGACCAACCAGGAAAGCCTTCTACAATCGACGCCGACGACGTCAACACTTCCCGGTGAGTCCCTTCCGGCGTACCGCGTCCTCCTCCTCCTCTCGGGAACTTCCAGCGGTCGCATTGCGGCGCTGAGAAGTATCACCATTTTGTCTGGCAGCCGAATCTCGGACTGCCCGTGCACCACTCACCGGAGAGCGTCGTTTTCCCGTATCGCTGCTGGCCTCCGACGGGAAGTCATCAGCCCGGGCAATCATCGCCTCCAGGCCGGCCCGACAGTGGCTGAAAATTAAGAGAAATTAAATACACGTGTACCTCGATTATATATAGTGATATCTACTTACCTGTTTGTGAGTTTATCCGGAGTTAGACCCGAGAGCCTTATTTGTCCTCGTTGTTTGCCTAAAATTAAAAAGGTCGCGAGCATTAGTTAAATGGTATAGTTTACAGTGCAGTTACGTACCTTTTTGGCCTGTCCCTTCTTTTCCCTTGGAGCTCCTCAGGATTAGGTGACCATACGCACGCGCATCGCGCATGTTCCCTTGAGGCCCGCGTTTCCATGCGAGCTCTACCAATACATGGCTGGTGGAGCATAGTTTTCCGCGGCGCCTGTACCCTTTCCCAGCAAAACATATCCTCTGCTTTGACCGCGTAAATATCCGAGACGGGGGCCAGGTTTCGGTCTTAGAGGCTGAGGAAGGATAAATCTGTCAAGAGAAGCATGTGTATAAATGATTGTACTTACCATATTTATTAAACCTTTGTAATACCCACTATGTGTGAATAAGCTTTCCCAGTGGGGGAGATGGAACCGTAGCCGTAGTCGCGAGGAGGGTGCTCCTGCCGACTACGAATGGGTGGTGCCCTGCAGCACCTTGAGGGCATCCATGGATGGGCGGGAGCGCTTGGCTAGGACATCGATAGCCACCAAATGTAATCCATTTTCCCGACAATAATTGTAGATTTTTGCTTTGTTTACGTTTTTGCCCTTAGTGATGACCGATAGATTAGTAAAGTGAGACCGCGAAGTTATCGATACTTATGTTGCGAGCTGTGGCATTAGGGGTACTCTGCCCTGAAGACGACTGAGCTAGCGGCACTGCCACCGACAAAAAAGCAGTTCGTAACAATTTTGTGAGTTGGTATAAGCGTGAATGGTGCTATAGTGTATTAAATGAGCAGTGTGGAGTGTGTTATAATAGATATTAATATGAGCAGCTCGAATGAAACCGGTAATCAATGTCCAATTTTCAATTGGTTCATTTCCAAGTAAACGATAAATATCGTTATATTTAAGTAGTGTTGGGTAATTCTGTCTTGTTGGTGTATATTTTGAGCAATTTATCAAAATATGCGAAATGTCTTCATTAACGTTGCACGAATCGCATAGGGCGTTATCGTAGACTTTCCTTTTGGAAAGTGTGTATTTATCAAAAGCATGTCCGCTTAAGATTCTGTTCAGAGTCTTCGTTTCTATACGGTTGAATAGGTCTTCTTTGTTTTTAAACCAAGGCTTGGAAGTGGTATTTGGTGAGAGGAGAGAGTAACCCTTGTTACGCTCTAATGAAAACAGACTGTACTCACGCTCCCAGTCTTGTTTTATTTGCGCGAACATATGATTGATAGCGTCTTTGAGGGTCCATCTGACGGGTGCGAAAGAGCCGTTAATACCAGAATTTTTAGCCGCTGAATCTGCGAGATCGTTTTCCCAAATATTGGAATGGCTAGGAATGTGGTCAAACTCTATGGATAGCAGGGTTGGATTTTTTATGACTTTTTTCAGGATGCATTGAGATATGCAGTTTTTGGAGTTCGCGTTCTTTATTGTCTGGATGGCACCAAGGCTGTCAGTTAAAATTGCTATTTTGGAGAACTTCTTTGAAGTACCGAAGTCAATGGCTTTTTCTAGGACTGTGAGTTCAGCAGTCAGCGACGACAGTTTTTTGTCGGTGTAGAAACTTTTTATTGAATTGGAATTTAAGTGAACAAAAGCACTAACTGTAAAATTTTCCGACACAGAACCATCCGTGAAGATGATTTCCATATTTTTTGAGGTTAAACCTCTTATTTTTTCTTTAAATAAAGAGAGAATTATAGTCTCGTTTGCCATTTTTTTATTCTAACAAGTACCTTTAAAGAAATTTGTGTCAACTGAAATCTTTCGTGTGGACAGACAATAAGGACAAATAGGAGCAATACTATCCAGGATATTTTTAAATTCAGCATAAATTCTACTGTAACTAGTATTTTTGGCTACAAAGGAGTTTGACAGAAGCGACGCAGATGGTAGTCCATGAGCGAACGTTTTGGCCAAATCCTTCGCTGTAGCGAATTTAATCCTATAAGCTGGAGGAAGTTCAGCTGCAAGATTATAAATAATATTAATTGGAGTCGATTTTATAAGTCCTAAGGCCTTTCTAAGGTGGAAATTAGCATGCTTACTTATGCTGTTTTGTACTGATTTTGATATGTTTGAAAAAGAGGAGCAGGCATATTCATATCTAGTTCTAATAAAAGCTTTATAAAATAGTAGTGACTTGCTTGGATGTACTCCGAAGCGGCAGCCACTGAGCATTTGAATAAACATATTCGTTTGATTAGATTTAGAGATCGTTTTATTTACATGCTGAACAGACGAGTTGTTTGAACTTATGACTCTACCTAAATAATTTACGCTATTTACATTTTTTAAAATAATATTATTGCACAAGACACTTAAAGGTTTTTTTCTTAAATTAAAATGAATGGTGGCTGATTTGTCTGGATTAAAAGTAAGATTATTAATATTGCACAGTTCCATAAATCTATTTACTTTTTGTTCTAATTTCTCTTCAGCCATCGAAAAGACTTTGTCATAACAGACTAGAAAGAAGTCGGTAGCGTACTGGAACAGAATACTATCATGGTCATTACTTAAGCTGTGAAGCTCAGCTGTATATAAATTAAAGAGGATTGGACTCAGACAACTACCTTGACTAACTCCTTTGTTTACAGTAACCTCTGCAGTACCCATAGTGAGAACTCTTTTACTAACGAAGTTTGTATTGAAATAAATATGATTGTGGTCGAAGCCCAAACTAACTAATTTGCTACCCAGGGATATTGACGACATCAAAGGCTTTACTTAAGTCTAAAACATCTGCGGTAACGTGAAAACCACGAGCTTTTAGGTTGGCTATGTTATTTAGTACATCGTTGATGCATTGGGCAGTAGAATGGTTTTTTCTGAACGCATAGGATCTTGGTGGAATTTGAATTTTATTTTTATTAATGTGTTCTTCCATACGCAGTTTAATCAAACCTTCTAAGCACTTAAAAGTCACACTTAGAAGGCAGATAGGTCTGTTGTTGGTAATAACTCCTTTGTTTACAGTAACCTCTGCAGTACCCATAGTGAGAACTCTTTTACTAACGAAGTTTGTATTGAAATAAATATGATTGTGGTCGAAGCCCAAACTAACTAATTTGCTACCCAGGGATATTGACGACATCAAAGGCTTTACTTACGTCTAAAACATCTGCGGTAACGTGGAAACCACGAGCTTTTAGGTTGGCTATGTTATTTAGTACATCGTTGATGCATTGGGCAGTAGAATGGTTTTTTCTGAACGCATAGGATCTTGGTGGCAGAATTTTATTTTTATTAATGTGCTCTTCCATACGCAGTTTAATCAAACCTTCTAAGCACTTAAAAGTCACACTTAGAAGGCAGATAGGTCTGTTGTTGGTAATAATTGAAGAGTCAAGATTTTTTTTGGGAACAGGTATAACCCTTATTTTCCGCCACTGTTCTGGAATAACACCATTGTCTAAAGTAATGTTTAGCAGGGATACCAGTTTTTCAAGACCCTTAGCCGAGTCTGGGTTATGAGAGTTTAGGAAGTCAAGAAGTTCACGCGCTGAGAAATTAGAGTTGGCATATCTATAAAGCAGATCAGGAGAAAAAGATACGTCAGGACACATCGCAGTGTTGGGTGCTGTGGCTATTTGATTGAGAAAGTGTCTATGTTCTGAGTCAGATATTGCACTGTTGGACGGGTTAATTTGTTTATAAAGTTTAAGATTTTTGATTTTGTTCCACATATCTTTCAGAGAAGATGGGTTGGAAATGCCTTCTGCCACCTTATTGAGGTTTTCTTTTCTCATTTTATAAAAATAGTTGTTAAGTTTTTTATTACTGTTAATATAGGCAATTGTAGTTTGGATTTAAAATATTTTTGTCTGCACGCGTTTCTTAATCTAAACAATTTTTCACAGACCTCGTCCCAATACTTTTTTGGAACATATCTGTTGTTTGTATTTATTTTAATTGAATTATTAGAGTGTATTGTTTGGGATGAGTTGGAGATGATATCTAACGTTGTAATTTGAATTTTGGAAAAGTCTTTAATTATTTTTTTATGGTTAAATTTAATAATATTAATCGAAGCAGAAATTTGGTCTATTTCAATAAAGATTGGAAAATGATTGCTATTTGATATTTTAGAATTTATTGAGGACCATTTAGGACAAAGATTGCTACTATTAATGAAAGTGAGATCGAGTGTTGAACTATAGGATGGGTTATGAGAGTAAGTTGGAGAGCCGTTGTTAAGGCAAAAGAAACCGGAGTGTAAGAGGGAATTTTCTAAAATGCCGCCTCTGGCATCTTGAGTATTATTACCCCAAATGCTGGATTTGGCATTAAAGTCACCACCTATGACAGTTAGACCGCTCGATTGAGCAGCAATAGTAAATAGATCATCGCAACCTTGTTGAAAAGAACTAATGTCTGTGGTGGGAGCAGCATAGACACTGAAATTATTAATATTATTTCTTAGGTTAATTGTACGGATACCAATGACTTCTAATCTAGTATCACAGTTGATTTGTCTAAAGTGTATATGTTTTTTTAAGTAAATTCCAACGCCTCCATAACCATCGTTACGCGGCTTACATACAAAATTGTAATTTGCCAAGCTACACATGGAGTTATTGGAGACCCATGTCTCTGATAAAATTGCTATGTCTATGTTGTTTACTAAGAATAATTCTAATAATTGTTTGTTATTATTAGCAGTTAAGCTCTGAATATTATACTGTAGGACTTTTATTGTCATTTAAATAATATAATTTTATGTTTTATTTTCAAATGTAAACAGATAGACAAATAAAAAAGAAAAGTAACAGATAATAATAAGTAAATAGATAAATAAATAAATAAAAAGGTTATTATTCAAAATTAAACAGGTTGATTAATTTTGAACAAATCAATTTTTGAGTTTGAGCTATTCTGTTTCTTAAATTCTCTAAAAAGTTTCTTGATTCTGGTACTAAATTGGTTGTTTCGTTGACTTGAAATGAGGAAATTTCAGAAGCTAATTGATTTAAACTATTCTCCGCAGCTTCAAGAGCTGGATTGTCTGATAAAGGTTGACTAGAGGGTGGGGAAATAGGTGACTTAGAATGAATGTGACAAAACTTTTCGTTTAGAGTGTACTCATGTTCATGAAGAGCAGCTTTCCAGCTGATCATGGTGTAGCGTGAATTTTTCTCTTCGTTTTTCTTGTTAAGAGAGTTCTTAACAACTTTATTAAAATGGTATTGTGCAAATATTTGTTGGGTGCTATTTTGGTATTATTTTGTAAAACTGGAATGGCAGATTTTCTTTGCCATGTTGGCTGGGGGAAATGGGTTAAGTCGTTGATGTCGACTTCATCTAAAATTTGGAAGAGAGAGGGGTACCTAATCTTCGTTTCATTTCGTGATAAATTTTCAAGAGTCATACATTTCTGGATAGCGTACGCTCTCTTACGAGCAAGGCACTCAAGAGAGGTGGCTGAGTGATTTTGTTTGCAGTTGGTACAAACGAGTTGACTACATTGATGCTCTCTTGAATGCGAAAGAGAACATTTACTACATCTTTGCACAGTTTGTTGACAATGTCGAGCAAAATGATTAAATCTAAAACAACGAAAACATTGACTAAAAGGAACAAATGGACTAACTTTAATTTTAGTGTACAGAAAAACAATCTCGTTGGGAATTTGAGTGCCTTTAAACCAAATCTTAACCCTAGGAGTGTTGATAAAAATATCTTTATTGTCTCGGTCCTTAGTCTTCACACGAATTATTTCTTGTATA